GTGATAACGTCCCATGAATTACATTTGGTATAGTTTTTCCTCTAAGCATTTTTCTGGATTTATCCATATATTCACAAGGTCTTTGTATGAAAATAAGTATTGACCCATCTAAATATATATAACTGTGACTTGAATCCTACTTATTTGTCCTGGCTAGAGTAGACATATTGAATCAAATACTGAATGATAATTTAACACATAGGTAAAAGTCACTGATTTAGTGAGCCTGCTGTAGGAAGAGCAAGCAATAGGATTTAGACTTATGGTTATAACAGAACAATTACTATGGAGAATCTGTACAAATCTTCACTTATTTCAATGCCAAAATGAAAAACAGTTCAGAAGACTCCTCCATACTAGATTAGATCGACAGTTTTTGCATACTTTTCATGATTTTTCACATTTTTGCATGCATTTTGCGCTGTGATCCAAGACAATTGTGGATTAGTAATGGAGCAGTTCTTCCCTGCTAAAATATTAAATAGTTCAGAAGCCCAAATCCAAGTAGAAAAATCTAAGTAGAAAAATTGTTGTTATTTTTATATGTTTCAACTGACCTATGGCAATACTTTTGTAGGATTTTCTTTGCAAGAATTATGCATGAAAGATTTGCTTTGCCTTCTGTCGAGGACAAGAGAGTGTGGTTTCCATAAGGTCCCCAAGGAGGTTTCCATGGCTATGTGGGGATTTGAACCCAAGTCTCCTACAATCCTAGCCAGCATTCAAACCACTACACCACATTGTCTCTTTCTGTCCTTTTCCTGTTTGTACCCTGTCCCATATCTCTTGTAAACGTTCAGGGGTAGCTCTGTTGGCCATTTAGCAAATTCAAACAAAAATCCACCAAACAGTGATACCTTTATTGATCAACTGAAATGCACAATATACTTGTTGCAAGCTTTCAAAGCTCTACTGGCTTCTTCATCAGGCAAGATGTTACAAACCTCTTGTACTCCAGTATCCTTCCTGCACATTTCACCACAATGAATCTTTTATTCCAAATATAACCAAGATCCACTCCCCACTTCTCCATCTTCATTTCTCTTAACTTGGTTGCCATTTTTCACCTTTCCTGAAGAAGACAGTGATGGAAGAATTTATGTACAGTGAATACTCTGGATGTGGAATAATTGAAAAGAATGGATTAATGAAGTATAATACAACACATGACTTCAATGGAACAGATGAAGGGAAAAACAATGGAAATAATCCTGTGAGCCTCATTTGGAAGATGAAATGCATTGAAAAAAAGAATTTGAATGGAACCAGCCCAAGAATTTTGGACCCTGTACTAGAGACAACCCAAGATGTATATTTCCCAGAGGAAATGGAAATGTGGCATCCTCCCACCCCCTTTCACACAGAGAAATTGATTAGATTGGGAAATCATTTTTCAACATTGTGACAAAGGAGGGTATTGTCCACCTCACCTGAAGGAGTGCAAAAAAAGTAGAATAGTACACATAGCCCAGTCCTCCTCCAGTGTCTTTCTGTCATCTTCTTCATATGAGAAAGCACCTTCACTCTGGTTAATGCTATGGATGGCTTAATTGTAGCAGAAACAACTGTTGACTATATGTCACAGCCTCAGATGGGAAGCACACATTGAGTGTCAATTTTGGCACCTTCTAACCCACATGAGTAGCTGAGCACCACCATGCCCATTTTCTATGACTGGAAAAACGATTTTCAGTCACTTCTGGATGGAATAGTTTGCTGTTTCAGGACTATGAATATTGTTACTATTATCAACTTTACAACTGCCAGGCCATTCCGGAATAACTCTCCCACCCCTAGCAGAGTTTGGATGGTTACTACTCCCTGACACCATTGTTTGTTCTAATGTCTTAATTATTGCTATTGATTTATTTTGTTATTTTAATTAGTCTACTAGTTTAATTTGATTTTTATGGAGTGAGTGGGTTAGGGATTGGGGGGGATGGAATTGTTTTAACTGCTGTCTTGTTTTAACTTTGTACACCGCCTTGATTGCCTTGCAGAGGGGCGGGTTAAAAATAAAATTTATTATTATTAATTTATTATTACTTATATTCTGTCGAATCCCAAAACTGGGACACACAGCAGGCTTCTAAATTTAAACAAGTACAACATAATTAAAACCAGCATTGAAATAGAATTAAATTATTAACAATGCTACATAAAACAGTTCAAACTGTTTAATTAAACAAGTTAAAAAGCAATTAAAACAGTACAATTTAAACAATACAGCATCTTTTTAAAAGCCTTTCCCTTAAACACTTTCTGTTCTCAGAAGCCTGTCCAAACAAACAAAAACACAAAGTCTTTGCCTGTTATAGACATGCAGCATGCAGGGGGCCAGTCTAACTTCCCTAGGAAAGGAGTTCCAGTGGATCAAAAGTGGCTATTAGCACATCACTAACAATCATGCCCTTGCAATAAGGGAGTAGCACGCTCCCTGCAACCAGTCCCAGTAAACAATTTGGCTGGAACTTTTTATACCAGATGAGCTTTCCAACCAGTCTTCAAAGGCAGACCCAAATAAAGTGCATTACAGTAAATACAAAGAAAAAAAACTGTATCTCAAATTGCCATACTCCCCAGTTTGGGCAGATTTTACTGAGATTCTAGACATGCCACTCAGTGCCCATTTGGAACATCATCTGGCCTGGATTTTCAGCTCCCCCCCCCCTTTCATTGTCTCTACCTCTTGTATGAGCTGAGATATGAGGCAAAATAGTGATGCACTCTTCTGTGAAATTGCTCAGCAAGAAACAAGTCTGTCTTTCAGCCGCAAGGAAAGAGGGAATAATCCTTGTGACATGAGGGAGGAATGAGCAGGGAGGGAAGAGTTTGTAGTATGAGCACTAGAGTGTCAGAAACAAGGGAGGGTACACTGCAAGGTGGTGAGGTGAGGGAGTGAGTAAGAATGAAGGGAGAGCGAGCAGTGCAAGTGCCAGTGTGTCAGCAGCAAGGGAGGGGACCATTGTGAAGTTGAAAGGTGAGATGAATGAGGGAGTAGGAGGGAAGGGGAGTGAGCTTGTGCATAGTGGTGTGTAAGAAACAAGGGGCAGAGGCATTGTGAGTATGCAAGTTAAGGTGAGAGAGAGAGAGGAAGAGGGAAGGGCAGCATGACCAGAGGTCCTCCTTTTCCCAAACATGTCCTACATTTCAACCTTAAATCTGGGGGTCTGGGAGGAATTGTAAAACAACTTCTATTTTGAGTATAAAACCTGCCCTTGTGTAATCCCAGCAGACAAGCAAGAGATAACGCTACAGATTTATTATTGCCCAGGCTACTGCCAAGGTCTTGTTAGTTGCAGGCTGCAGAGAAGATTGTTGCTGACCATATGGTGGTTTTGTTTTTGTTTTGTTTTTTCTGATGGAGGTGTGGAAAGGAAAGACAATCTAGGCTCTTGAAGTAGATCACTGGCTCAAGGGGAGCAATGGAAAGTGAGCAATTTGAGTTGAGGAAGAAGCTAGAGGGATAAGAGAGCAAATGGGAAAACTACAAATAAAAGTTATAATTTAAATGTAGATTCAGTCCACAAATTGCTAGTGAAGTACAATTGTAAGCATCTGTTTTGCTCAGAGTTCTACAAGAACCAAGGAGACATTAAAGAAGGTTTGCTGGGAGTGAGTGATGGTTGAAGGTCACACAGTAAGTTCCATGAACAAGCAGAGTTTTGAACCAACATGTTCTGAGTCCAGCATGTCAAGCAACAGTCTGTCCTGCATTTCTCTGATAAACTGTAACTATAAAAAAAAAATAGTAAGAAGAGTGAAACATAGTAGAAGGGGAAAATTCAACAATTAATACATTGAATCTGTGTAATCAGAGAGCAAATTAAAGTAAATTGCATAACACACATTAGATGCCCAAATTTGAGGAACTGGAGTATTTCTTTGTTTTTTTTTATTTATATTCCTCCTTTCTCCCAGTAATGGGACTCAGGGCAGCCTACAACGTATTGAAAAACAATCAAGATTAAAAATAATGTAAAGTCATTAATAAAATTATAAATATAAGAGTTATTTTAAAAAGTGATTAAACAATTTATAAAGTTAAAACATTTAACAATAAAATTCATTCATGTCTAGCAGTTCGAGGCATTCCTGGCTGTAAAAATGGAAGTAGTTGGCCCAGGTTATTTGAAGGACCATATCAATGGTGCTGTTTTTAAGATTTTATATGATCTCATTAAGGTCTGATTGCCATCTCTCCTTAGGGAAGTATGATTCCTCATGACCAACCAAGAAAATACTTCTGATGTCAAGCAGAAGCACCCAGTATCTCCTAAGCTGACATGCACTATTAAATTAAATACATACATCTGCTTTTTTCC